AAAAGAAAAAAAAAATTACAATTGAGAGCACATTTCACTATCCTCGGGTAGTAGTTCAATTTCGTTTCCTTTTCAATAGCATCTGAAAAGCACATATTAATTACCTGGAGTTAATCCTAACACAAAAGAAGCCACAATCACAATAGTAACAAAAATAGAATAAATGTTGTTTTATAGAATCTTAAAGGTAATGACCTATATGCACCGGGTTAGGTTTGTTAGCCATATTGATTTTGATGATTGTTTTTTATTATGTTTTGATTTATTTTGAAATATGGATTAGAATTGAAAACTTAATATTTAAATAAATCATTATAATCCTTAAATTCTCCTCATGTTTAACCATATTTTTGGAGTGCAAATGGTGTTTAAACAAGTGAAGAATCAAGCACAAAACAGGCCTAAAATAGTGCAAAACAGCCCAGAAATAGTAGCAAAAACAACAACAAAAATAGTAGCAAAACAACCCAAAAATAGCACCAGAACAGAGCAGCACAGAGCAGCAGTTAATTCTGAATTAAAACACATTTTATTCTAAATAAAACAGCATCAAAACCCATTTCAGTCTAAATAAAACAGCATCAAAACCCATTTCAGTTAATTCTGAATGAAGCACCGAATCTCATTTCTTTACTTCAATCAGGAGACATAACTTGAACAATCTTCAACAAGGAATACTTCAAAATATTTAGTTTTGTGTTTTTGAAAATATTTTGACATAGGATTTGGTAATAGATTTGTGGGTTTAATGCTAATAGTTTGAAAGTACTTTGGTATGAACGTTTCAGATTGGTAGAAAATTGTAATTATGTTTATTGGGATGTTTAATAGCTATTAATTTTGAATTGTTATGAATGTCTTGCACATGTGTATTACTATTTACATTGCATTTGTGTATATATTGTGTAGAGAAAAACATGTGTTTTTGATTATTTTGAACAGAAAAATTATTAAAATCCAAATTTGTAGAGGGAATTTTTAGTGACAGGTGATATTTTGGCTACTGTTAATATATTTGGTGACAACATATTGTTTTTGTCACTAAAAGTTAGTGGCTATTCTAAGAACTTTTAGCAACCAAAACTTAGTCGTCGCTAAAAAGTTGATTTTTAGCAACCAAATTAATTTTGTCGCTAAATAGTAGTTTTGGCGACAAATTTATTTGTCACTAAAACTACATAGCCTATCCAAATCTTAACCTTTTAGCGACAAATTAGAATTTTACAGCGACAAAATATATGATTTTTGGTGACCAATTTTGCTTGTCGCTAAATATCTACATACGGTGACAATTTATTATTTGGTCGCCAATAATTTTAGTGACAGGCCTTTGGCGACCAATTGGGTACTTGTCACCAATTCTTTTGGCGACGAAATTTGTACTTTTGGTTGCCAAATATGCTTTTTGTTATAGCTCTTCAAGGTCTAACTCCAGAGATCACTCCTTTTGATTAGGCCTTTTTCAAAAGAAAAATAAAATACCAGGAACTCCAAGCAACCCTCCAAGTCTCCAACAACTCTGATTTATGAGGCCTCTGACATTGAACGAAAATGGCTTCAATGTTTCTGCCTATTGATCGTGATAAACCTTGAATTAATGAGTACCTCAATCGGTACAAAATCCTGAAAAAAAAGATCCTCCTAACCACCAAAAATCGATATCCTTGAATGTTTAAAATTTTAACTGCAATTTTCAAGCAGATGTCTGTGGTAGCAGGTGGGTGGTGAGTGGTGGTGGCAGGTGGTGGTGGAGGGTAGGTGGTGGGTGGTGGTAGCGGAAGACGGTGGTGAAAAATGGTGGCGGGTGGTGGCTAATGTTGGGTAATAAAAAAAAATTGAAAACTCAAAATGGAAACACATTTTTTGTGTTTTCATTTTTTGGCCAAATTTATAAACTAAGACCACTGATTTATAAATTAAAAATTTTACCAAACAAGTTTTTATTTGAATTTTTTTAATTTTTATAAATATAAAGAAAAAACTGAAAACGTAAATGTTACCAAACCACACCAAATATTTTATGTCATATTATAAACTCTTGATACAGGAACCAAAACAAAAGCAATCATAATATTTAAAGCAAGCAAACAACAGATAAAAAATAATAGTCAAAAAAGAATATCAGGCCCTGTTTGGGAACTTACATTTTTAGCTAAAAAGTCAAAAAGTTATTAAATTAGCCAAAAAGCCAACAATCCATACCAAAAAGTCAAAGATTCTCTTTTCTCTCTACTTTTTGCACATCTTTTCGTAATTAGCCAAATAGTCATTCCAAACATACAAGTTTTTTTTAGCTACCTTTTTAGCCAAACAAAAATGATTTAGACCCCCAATTTTTCAAACCCCCAGTGACCCCCATGTTTTCTTATTGGCTGGAATTTTTTTTTTTTTTTTTCTATCTGCCAATCACAGAGCCCCATGTGGAGTGGGGTGCTGGGGGTCACCCCCACTGGGGGTCCCCAGCACGGTTGTTTAGCCAAATAGTCAAAAAGTTACTAAATTAGACTGTTTCCAAACGAGGCATCAGTCTCAAATCAAATCTACTATGCATATTTAAACTTTTTATTCTGAGGCCACATCATAAATAAATGGATAAACTACTAATAACTCCTAATAATTGGACTTAGTTTTCGTTTAACAATGATTTTTTTAGCTAATTTTTTGACTTTTTTGATTTTTTTAACCTGGAAATCTTTTTGTTCGTTTGGTATTTTTGATTGATTTTTTTTGGCTTTTTAGCTTTGGAATGATGATTTTTTGACTTTTTTTTGTCCTTTTGTGATTTTTTAGCCCAACTCAAAAACCAAACAATCCCCTTAATTCCCATCAAGCCTTATTGAAAATAAGTCTTAGTAAAATTATAGTTAAAAATAATTTTTTGTGACGATTTTTTACATGTCACTAAAAATTAATAATTAGTGACTTTTTTTTGTCTTGATTTTTATAAATTGTTGCTAAAAGTTATGAATTAGTGACACTTTTTGTGACGATTTTTTAAAACTGTCGCTAAAAATTATAATTAGTTACATTTTTGTGACAAAATTTTCATTTGTCGCTAAAAATTAACAATTAGTGATGTTTTTTTAATAATGTTTAGTTAAAATATCATTAATTATTATAGGACCTATTGGACAATAAATCTACTTATTAGGACCTATACGTAAGTCCCTCTAAATAAATCTTGGCCTTTGATTGCAAAATTTGAACAGTTTTTTTTTTTTTTTTTTTAATTTGTAGAACTGCTGCACCAAATAATTTTCTTCTGAAAGTGATAAAATTTCATACAATTGATAAATGTAGCCAATTAAAAGATAGAAGAAAAAAGGTGTAATCCAAATGTTTAGCTCTAGGCATCAACTTGGTCAGCGCAGAAAACTTAACACTTCTCAAAACATGTTATATATGTTTATTTATTAATGCTTGAACTAATTAAAACAACAACACCAACAACAAACAGTGAAGTGATTACAATTATTATTGGAGAAGCTCTTCACCACATATTTCCTATATATGAAAGACTTTAGTCAAAATCAGAATATCAATTCCAAAAAAATTCAAAATAAGAATATCAGTCCCAAAAATCAATCCCAATATCAGTGTCGTGTTGTGTTCTACCATGCCGAACAAGAGAATCAAATTGAAGACAAAAAAGAAAACGAGGAAGAGGAAGCGATGTGAGAGAGAGAGGGAGATGAAGAAGAAGAAGAGAAGATGTACCTCTATATGTCTTCTTCCGTGCCGCTTAAGGTTGTGGAGTGAGAGAATAAGATAAATATTAGGTCAATTCTTGTTTATTCAACTAAAAGGGTCAGTCAATTGTTAAAGATATTAAAAAACAAAGGATAAATTCAAAACGACGTCATTTTGACCCCTAATTTATTGGCGAAAAAAATCATTTCGTTCCATAAATATCATTCACCTTTCCGCGACTATTTTAATTCTGTTGCCAAAAAATTACAATTGGCGATCAAAATTTTCATTACCATATATTAATTTAGTCACGAAAACAATTTTAGCTCTCTCGCGCAGAAATTTAAGTTGGCGCCAAATGTTTTTAGCGACCAATAATCACAACTGGTTACCAATAGTTTATTTTTTGGCAACCAACAAGTATATTGTTGTCGATTATATACAATTGGCGACTAATCTCAATTTGGTTGCTAAAAGTCATTGCCAAAAATGTTTTTTGTTGTAGTGCGTCCTAGAAGTCATCCTTAGCTGATATTACATAGTAAAACCACTCAATCATATAGCGGTAAGTCGCGAACTCGTACATAGACAGAAATTTGAATTCACACTCTTGACATTTAGTACGTTATCCCGAAGTCTAAAAAATTTATGTTACCAACTATGTGTGGTATTGTGCAAATAACTTATTTTAAAAAAAAAAAATAGAACCTAAGATCTCAAGGGCTATGCATCAAGCCCTATGTGTTATATGGATTATTATTTATTTTTTTTTTTTTTTTTGAGATTCGCCTTATCTTTGTAAGGGTTGTTTAGTAGTGTTGTCTTCTCATCTTTTGTTTAGTTTGATCTGTGTTTTAGACTTTATTTGGAAAATGGGTTAGTTTTTTGGTTTTTTTATTTTTTGGACTGTTTTAACCTGGGGTTAAAAAGTCTGGTTGAGAAAGGACTTTTGACTTTTTAATTTTTTTGTGAGAGAAAGAATATAATGATTATGGGTTAAATGTGATATTTTGTCTTATTGAGCTAAAAAACTTATTTTATTTTTTGTGATTAAAATAATTAAAAAAACCTCGAATCTTGCTTCCCAAACGAAGCTTTAGTATATTTTTTCCTTGATGGATATAGCGTTGTTGTTGGAATGTGCATCCTTATTAATATAATTTCGTTATACTATTTGTACTATATTATTCATTAATAATATATTATATTTTGTCCATATAATTGCTTTTATATTTATATGTATCAAAAATATATATATTTATAAATAATTGTAAATATATATATATATATATATATATATATATTATCTACAGAAGGAGACAGACGATCCTTAATTTTACCAACAAGATGACAAATAAGAGGAACAAAAAAACACGGTAGTAAATGAATCCGAAACCAAACAGAAACCAGCTGAGCTTGGTTACTACCCTACGTAGTGGCTACCTACACATCCAAAAAGCTACAAGCTTGGTTTCCTCAATAACCTATAAACCATCAAAACACAATGGTTGTTAGGGTTAAAAGCTCATAGGAGTCCGGGCACTCCTGTCTCTATATATAATCTTCACATCTTCATCTACATCTATCTATAACTTGTAACCATAACAACCACACTACACTTGCTTTGCCAAGTCTTCTGAGCTTATAAAAGTCCCATGAAAACCATATGGTACCCTTGAAGGAAGCTTAACACAAGCCTCTAACTCTAAATTCATGGCATTTATGATCTGCAGCTCCGATTTCGATGTCTTTTCATCGTGAACGAATGCGAGAACATACCCATCATCTTCTCTATCGGAATTGGGATCTCTCGGAACGAAATACGGCTCACCACCATATCTTCTATCGCCGTATAAGAATTTCTCAACTTGTCCAGTTGAGAGGTCGACTTTGGCGAACCCAGACACCTTAGGCCACGGCTCAGCAATGGCTAGAAAAGCATACTGGGTCTTTCTTCCGAGCTTGTTCCTGTTCACCATCCCAGCTTCCAAGTTCACTTGCTCTTGAATTATGGGCCTGCGAGTCGACTCGCCGGTCTTCAAGTTTAGCCGAATTTCCGATAAAACACTCTTCAAATTCTGATCGCATTCATTGAAAATGGAGTCCGGCGGAGTCATGCATGAACCGATAACCACGACTTCATCGGACTCCGGCTCCTCCCAAGCGTTCCACAAATGGAAGCAGAACGTATCGGGCGATTCGACCCAGATAATATCCGATGCGTTTTCAGCATTTTTTGATAGAATTCCGAACCGCGACATCTTGTTCTTGTCGTAGATCACCGGTGAGCCACCTCTGATCATTTCTTGGAGCTTGAACACCACTTGTTGGTCCGGTATTACCACATAGTTCTCTGTAATAGCAAAGTCATGCATCATAGTAGGCACATCCAAGGGAATTTCAATGTCCGGTGACTTGGTTCCATCACAAGAGAACTTAAAGTACTTGAGATACGGCTTCTGAACGATGTCGTAGCTCAGAGAAAACAGTTCTCGGGTCTCCGGGTCGAGCTTCGGGTGGGCTATCATGGTAGACCCGAGCTGATCGTCGAAGTCGTATCGGCCGATCGTCTCGAGGTCACCAGAGGGTGTGACACGGACTTGGTAAGGAAGATCATCCTCTGACATGGCAAGTAATCGCCGATTAAAGTAGATTAACCCGGCGTTGGCAACTCCGATGCCGTGGTTATGGTCTACAAGACCCAAAAGTCCTCGGGCATAGAAGAGAGCCAGCCGGGCAATACCCGAGTGCCCGTGGAGCTCGCCGATGGCTTTGGGGAAGACCGGTCGGCCTAATTCTCTCTCCTGAACAAGCCGGTGAGTCTCGGTGAACCGGCAAGCGTAGCTAACTGATGAATTGGCATTGATTGTGACTGCATGAACCATGCCGTCGCCGTCGAATAAGTGGTGTCCGGCCACCGGCTCGAACAGCGGGTTAGCGCCGTTCCGGACGTAAACGCCGCAAATGCAATCGGGGATTTTTCCGGTGACCGGAAGTGAGTGCTGGACTGATTGTTCGGTCACCGGAGCGAAGTTTCCGGCGATTTGGACCTGCGGGTCCGCGGTCTTGGGAAGCGGGTGGCAGCGCTCGCGTGCGAGCAACGCACCCTCCGCCAAGTCCAAGGCCGTGGCTGCAGCTCTTTGTAGTAAGTTCCAGTGTGGTGGTGGTTGGGCTGTTTTGGGAGTGTGAGTGTGGTGGTGATGACTTGAGTCCTTTCTTAAAATTTTTGGTGTTTGGTATGGTTGTTTTGGGAAATGAAGCACTGAAGGTGAGTGTACAGCACAGTAAATTTTGAATCCTCTAGTGGGCTTCTTCATGGTGTTGGACTTTGATGGGAAGCCCAAATGAAATAAAGAAGTGCATGAGAGGGATTCTGGGATTTGGGCATTGGCCCATGTACTGGAATGTGCTGCTATTGTGGTAGAAGAAGCCATGGTTTTAGGAGCTGGGTTTTGGAGAGTGTGCTGAGAGAGAGAGAGAGAGAATGTCTTGTTTTCTTGGGTTGTTTTTGTAGAGAGAGAAAGAGAAGAAGAGAGGAGAGGGGAGGGGAGTGAGGATGAGGGTTTGGGGAGAGAGAGGGGAGAGGGAAAGGGGTATAAATAAGAGAGGGGGTGGATTGAAAGAGGAGTAATGTGTTGGAGGTCCACCTCAGACATGTAAAGAAGACCATGTGGTGGATTTGTGGGAAGGGCACTTGAGATCAAGAATAATAGAGAGGGACACTTGAGATCAAAACATATAAGAAAGACTGTAAAACACGATCACTCTAAAACCCCCTTTATTTTTTCTTGTAATTTTACTGTTTATTGTCCTTTATTATTCATGATAATCGAATAAGAAATTGGTAATTTACATGGTATTATGCCGGGAAGTAGAGGGAGAAAACGTGCAGGAAGAGAACATGGTTGGACAGAAAGAACGAGAGGTAGAAAAAGGAACAGAGAGACGAAGGAAAAAAATAATATTAAAAGATGGAAAATAATATACAAATTTATTTTTTATATTTATTCTCTCAACTTAATAATATATATTATTAGTAAGATTATTGATTAATAATTAAAAACAAAAATGAGTGAGACCTCTAAAATTGAAAAACTAAAGGGGCATTAATTTGTCATTTTCTCTCTCCTATTTTGTCTTTTACCTTTCTCTGTTTTTTTTTTTTTTTTGGTTCTAAAAAAAAATAAATAAAATCAAATATTAACTTGAAACTAAGAGTTAAAGTTTTTAGTTTTCTATGTGTGTGTGCGTGTGTGCTCGCGCGCGCGCATGTATTTATGTGTGTATGTATGTGTCTGTGTGAGTGTGAGTGTGTATAATTTATATTTTGATATTTGTGTTGTTGGCTTGGATTTGGGCTAGTATCCTGCCGTGGGGGAGGCTTGGGGTAAGACCGTGTCACAATCGACTTGTGGCATTTGACATTGTACCCATTAAGGGAATAAAATTGCTCCTTTACCACTACCTATGGGTTTTGGTGAGATGGTAAGCGTTGGGATCCTACAATTGGTATCAGAGTAAGGTCTCAAGTTTGATTCCCTTAGAGGGCTTGCTGCTTGCAAGCAGGTGCTGTGGGGGATTGTTGGCCTAGGTTTGGATAAGTATCCTACCGTGGCAAAGACTTGGGGTAAGGCCGAGTCACAGTCGACTTGTGGCGCATAGCATTGTACCCTTTAAGGGAATATAGTTGCGCCTTCATCATTACCTATGGGTTTTGGTGAGATGGAAAGTGCTGAGGTCCTACATGTGTTTTTGTTTCAATTGTTGTTGTGTGTGAGGAAATCGTCCTGATACTTGCTCAAAAGACAAATGGCATCTTCTGTAGATTAGGATACTTTCTCATAAGACAAACAGTATTTGTGTTTGCGATTTGAATTTATTTATTTATTTTTAAAGATTTAAACTCATATATATATTCAAGGCTTAAATTTGGAAAGTCATCTTCATGATGATGATGATGATGATGAAAAAGACTTGAAGATGACTTTCCAAAATTTTGAACAAGTAGATATGCATGCATGAATGAATTTATGTATGCAATTTGTACAAATAAGAAATAGACAAATATGTATGTACCTTGGTTAAAAGGTTATATCCGTTATGGTTAAAAGTGTGTTATTGAGATTATACTATAATTTTTGATATAGTTGAATGGAAATGGTAATATTTAATAAGTATGAGATTTGGTGAAAATCATATTGGTTATCTTGGTTAAGGTGAAACAAAAATTGATTGAAGGTTTTGTGTGAGTCAAAATAATTGGGAAATTGATAAATAGCTTTAATATTTGGTGTATGCTAATATGTTATAGATTTATCTTGAAATGACTAAGTTGGAAGTTTGTTGATTTACATATGGTAAATACATCATCATTTCATCCAATGATGAAATGTTATTTGTAAATGGACTTGATTAATGAATATTGGTAATGTTATCCAAGTAATAAAATACGGAGCGTGACAATATAATTACTTGAATTATTAATTGAAATATATTTATAATGTCATTAAAAAACTGTTAATTAACTTGATAATTTATTACTAAAATGGACTATTTGTTATAAAATTAGAAATTTCAAGAGGTGAGATGCAATTTTCATAATCATAAAGAGCAATTTGTATTTTTAACAAGTCTCAAAGGTGTATTTATAATTTATCCTAAAAATTATAAAGAGTGAATTCACTTTGCTTGTTTTTGGTTTTCCAAAAACACTTTTTAGAAAATTCTACTTTCTTGTTTTCCGTATTTTTTTTTTGTTTTTACTGAATTTTTTTAATATTTTAAGCAATTTTTTTAAATTTTTAGACACACATAACATAAATACACGTAAAAGTATAATTTTTGTGAAAAAATATTTTAAAAATTCACTAAATATCAAAAATACAAAAAATAATAATAATAATAATGAGAATTCAGTATATTTTTCGTATTTTTATGTATTTATTAATTTTTTTCCCAAATTTTTTATTTTTTAGATACATCTAAGTAAGATACATCTGAAAAAGTAAAAAAAAATGCTTAAAATTTTAAAAATATTTACTAAAAATCAAAAAAAAAATATGAAAAATAAAAAACTTAGTTTTCAAAAAATTTAATCCAAAAAGCTCAAACCAAACACATTTTAAATACATTTTAAAGGGAAAGACTATATGCATCTTATAATTAAAGGAAAAAATGACATACTTCCATATTTTCTAAGTCAGAACTAAAAAATAATAATAATCATAATCAAATAGCACATGAGGCATAACTAAAGATCTCATGAGCCATAATTAAAATATTATCAGAACTAAAAAAAATGATATACTAAAAGTACATATGATATACCCTTTTTAAAGGTATGTATAGTGGAATTTCCGAATTTTAAGACATAGGCTCTTTAGGCTAAATTAGTCAATAAAACAAAATATCATATCAAATTCAGAATCATTTCACTCTTTCTCTCACAAATATCACATTCAACTATAAAAAAATTTAACCATCTTTTCAAATATAAAAATTTTAACCTACTAAAATAGTTAAAAACTAAAATAACCTATTAAGACTATGTTTGGCATCCTTTTCTTGGGCTAAAATAGCTATAAAAAGGCAAAATAGGTCTTTTAGCCCAACAAGACAAAACATCATAAAAGACATTTTGGTTCATTTCCACTACTATCATACCTATACATGCATAACCTTGTAAAAATATAAATTTACAACCCACCCACATGTATACAATCAATCAATGGAGTAACTCGGTTCTCCGAACTGAAACCACTCAAATCTATGATATTTTTAGTTACAACTAAACAACAACAATTCCACCTTGCTCAACTAGCTATGCACTTAGTAAGCCAAAGATATACTGAAATAACTACAACTAACTTCGCTCTACTAGCTATGTGCGTAGTAAGCCAAAATACCAGCTTACCAGGCGTTAGCTGGAAGGGTATGGTGCCTTCTATTATTAGCGCATACAGTTCTCCAGGCGCTAGCTGGAAGGTAACGGTACCTTTAATTATAAGCGCGGCATATAACGCCAACAACAACCATGCAACAAGGCATATCCAACATGTATAATGCATATACATAACCAACAAGAATCTAACAACGAGTTAAAGTAGATAAACACATAGGTGTAATGTATCCACAACAATTCAACACAACCATGATATCCTCCACCGATGACCAAGGACAAAACCTCTAGATGCATGTATATTGTACATCTATTAACAGACTCAAATATCATGAGATCATTAACTTATCACTAATACTAACATAGTAGTATAAGATACAACAATCCAACATTCATACTCATTTCAAAGTACCTTTCCCATTCTACAAAACCAACTCTCTTTATTTTTCAAAACCGGTTTTATTCCTTCTGTTTTTCACAAAATCAAATCCAAGGACAATAAAGCCAAAGCTCATTTTAATCTACTACATTCATCTCCAAGCCATTCCAATTTAATTATACAAATTAAATCATAATCACTAAAATAGGATTTCCCTCCCCTTCTCCCAATATTGATAAAAAGGTTCAATCATCTACAACAAACAACAATGGCTTCATTCAAAACCCAAAATACCCAAGTATTTACCCAATGATCAAAACCCCTCTATTGAGTTATTAAACCAAATAAATATTAGGGTTTCCTCCCCTTACAACAACAACATGCTAATTAACACCCAATTAGCCCCAAAACACATCTAATGATAATAGATCTAAATCCAACAACTATCCCAAAGTTCAACCTCATGAATTTATACAAAAATCCAACATAAAATGGTTTTCATGCAATACAAAAAATTACCACATGTCTATCTATAGACGTAATATTGAAAAAGAACAAGGAGAATCCCTACCTCAAAGGAGAACTCAAAAGGAGATGATGACCCGAAAATCAAAGTGCTCCAAATCCACAATTTTTCCGATTAAGACGAAGCCCTCGACACCCTCTACCTTTTTAACAAAGGACCTAGGATGGATTCATACTAGAAGGAGATGAAATCTAGAGAGATAATAAGTTTAGAGAGAGAGACTCTCGGCTGCTAGGGTTTCAAGAATGAAAGAGGGAGAAAAATGATCTTTTTCCCCGCTGCTGCCTACTGAAATACGATAGACTCGCTCGAGCGAAGACCTGGTCGCTCGAGCGACCAGACACAGAAAACTCACGCGCGGGCAAACAAACCAGAAGCTCGCTCGAGCGACAAAAATCTCGCTCGAGCCAAGAATTCCAGTGTTCAGGTCCTAGTACCAGACGCAACGCTCGCTCGAGCGAAGCCACCCTGGCTCGACCCACCAGACACAAAACTCCACGTTCGCTCGAGCGACAAACAGCTCGCTCGAGCAAAGGACTAAAAACCTGGGCAGCAACCACCTGCTCCCAATCACACCCAACTTGGAACAAACAAGTCCAAAACATTCTATAACTCAAATTTAAAGAATTGAAGGACAGAAACAAGTTCAAAACAACAACCAGAATCCACGGAACTAAGTCCGGATACTACAACCAAAGGAGAAAGAACCGGGATCGCTATAGTGGGCTGGACTGACAGGACTTCCCTCGTTTGTTCCTCT